GTGAGTGTCCAGGTGTGCGTGTGTCCAGGTATGTGTGTGTCCAGGTGTGCGTGGCCGGTTGTGCGTGTCCAGGTGTGTGCGTGTGTCCAGGTGTGCGTGGCCGGTTGTGCGTGTCCAGGTGTGCGTGTGTCCAGGTATGTGTGTGTCCAGGTGTGCGCGGCCGGTTGTGCGTGTCCAGGTGTGTGCGTGTGTCCAGGTGTGTGCGTGTGTCCAGGTGTGCGTGTGTCCAGGTGTGCGCGGCCGGCTGTGCCTGTCCCAGTGTGTGTGTATGTCCAGGTGTGCATGTGAGTGTGTCCAGGTGTGTGTGTGTCCAGGTGTGTGTGCACCCAGGCGTGCGTGTCCGCCTGTGCGTGTCTGGCTGTGCATGTTCAGGTGTGTCTGTGTCTAGGTGTGTATGTGTCCGGGTGTGCGTGTCCAGTTGTGCATGGTCAGGTGTGTGTGTGTCCAGGTGTGCATGCGTCCAGGTGTATGTGTCCGCTTGTGCATGTCTGGCTGTGCGCGTCCAGGTGTGTGTGTGTCTAGGTGTGCATGCGTCCAGGTGTGCATGTCCGGCTGTGCATGTCCGGCTGTGCATGTCTGACTGTGCACGTCCTGGTGCGTGTCCAGGTGTTTGCACTTGGCTGTGCGTGACCACCTGCATGTCCGACTGTGTGTGTCCATCTATGTGCCCAATTGGGTGCGTCCAGACACCGTGTGTCCGGTTGTACATGTCCGGCTGTGACTTCCCGGCTGGGTGTCTGACTGTTTATATCTGCCTGTGTGTCCGGCCTTGTGTCTGGGTGTATGTGTCCGGCTGTGCGCACCTAGTTGTGCGTCCACCTGCTTGCGCCCAGCTGTGTGCGTCTGGCTGTGTGTCTGACTGTGTGTCTTGCTGTACACATCCAGCGGGGTGTAGGTTGGATGCCCCTCATTGAGGAGTCCGACTGTACCCACCAGCCTGTGCCCATCGAGGCGTCCGACTGTACCCACCAGCATGTGCGCATCCAGCCAGACATCCAACCGCGCGCGTCCGGCTGTACATCCCGCTGTGCCCTTGGACGGGGTGTAGACACACCCGTCACGCAGGTGCGACAGTGCGGGTGTCACCGTCACCACCGG